CGGTAGGAGCCTCCAATGCGGTCCCACAGGGTGAAGTACTGCCCGTAGTTGTAGTCGAAGAAAAGGTGGTGGTCTGTGTGGTGAGCTGAACCGTTGATGATTTGTTCCATCAGGCTGGGCACACGGTAGTCCCCGTCATGGATGGAGACTGTCCATATGTTGACGAACACGTACAGGACTAAGTACAGAACCTTGTGTAGGGGGAAGAGGAAGGGGTAGATGTGGTATGGCAGGCCCTGAAGAAATCCGTCCACAGGGTGGAAAGCGTGGCTAGCAAATGGAGTGGGGATCTTCCACACATGATGTGGTTTGTGAAAATACTGTATATGAGGGAAAAGATAAAAAAAAGCAAGTTAGATGGAGCTGAGAGAACTACACTTTTATTGGTAGCTGAAAGCATATTCAAAATTAGATCAAATATGTTGTATTTTCACCCATGCAGGTGTGTCATTCTTACTATGTACCCATCATACGGATGGTGGATAAAATATTAAATTCACATTTTTTATAAAGATGGAAAAATATTAGTAAATTTTAGACTTTTTATTCAATATCACAAAGTTAATTAGATGAATAGTGGTGAATTTAAAATAATTTCACTGCTCGGTATTAAGCTTTTGTTGTTATTTTTGCACCAGATACTGAGCAACTTTTAAAACAGTGCTGTAATAGTTAACTATGTATATATATATAGTAACTATAAAAAATATAAATAAACATATATAAAATTAAATATAAATATTATATGAAAAATTCAACTTAAAAAATGTGACGAAAAGTTGAAGCACTAAAACAACAAAATAAAACCCGAAATAAAAGCATTAAAGCATAAAAAATGACAAAAGCACAGAAAATCACCAAAACAAACTAAAATGAAAATGTAAACTGAAAATATAAAAATAATGTTTTAATTGGTTATTAAGTTTTTCCTGTGTCGTCAATATCACCCTATTAATATTTTGTAGTATTACTCTTTATTCCCATCCTATTCATTTTCTTGCCCATTATTGAAACCATTCAATTTAATGAATAAACTATAAGTACCTAAGCTTGACCAGGGCATATTTACTAAGTCTTCTACATGCTTTAATAGAAAAACTACCTTAAATTACAACTCAAGCATATTCCTTTTGTTTAAAAAAAAACAAACAAAACAAAACACTACATAACAGGAATTACTCATGTCTTTACTCATATTTACCCATATGTCAATGCAAGGCAGTTCATATATATCTTAAATACCTTATAGATCAACTTGTGGTGAAGGAATCTGTGAATCCAGTAAATGCACATGTCAGTGAATAACAGGAAAGAGACCATGCTGAAAATCAGCCCTGACCATCCTGAAAAACAAGCATAAATAGTATGAGATGGTTATGCCCATAGCAACACGATTATCTAAAGCACATCTGACAGGCTGCATTACTCGCACTTTCCCAAATTAGGGCTGTCAGTTTGTTGCATCAAGATTAAAATACCTTTAAATGTTGCTTGTCTACCCTTCCTTAAAATTTGAAAGCCAGTTTTTTCCACACATCCAGCTTTTTCCACTACCTAATTGATAAAGCAGAAGATCTTACCGAGGGGCAATTCATCGACCCTGTCGTACAGTTTGCTGTATCCTCTGACCTCAGCGAAAAACAATGCTACTGTTGGTAGGCTGATCCAGGGCAAAGACCACAAAGCATACTTAATTTCACGTTGCACCTGGTTCTGTGGAGAAAAATATAATAAATAGCATACACATATATAATACTCAAGTAAATGTACTTAGTTACTGTCCGCCTCTGTATATACATACATAAATATACTCCTTTTAAAGACTGTAGGTTGCTAGATGTATAAACAAACCTCCAAAAATTGAGGGTGTTGCTTTAATTTGTGATCAAAAATGAAGAAGTAGCTCAAAGCACCCAGGCCTAGATATAAGACTGCAGCACCCAGGTTGGTGACCACCATCAAGCCAATGATCTGCCGCAGAGTCTCGTCCTCGGGCCATGATGAGGGATACACATAAGGAGTGAAGAAGTAATAATCTGCAACGTTGAGCACAAGGTCCATCTTTGACCCTAAGAGTTGGGCAGAAGTGTAATTAAATGTCTAAAATGTGAATGAAGTATTATAATTCACTTGATCATCATTGCCATATTGTAACAAACACTAAAAATACCAGAAACACTCCAGTGCACTTTGTCCAATGTTGTAAATGATAACTTTGTACTTTCCTAAGACAAAATGAATAAGAAACAGATTATACAGAATGAATGTATGAATGTAGTCTTATAGTTAATATGCTGTAAATGCTGTAATTGTAGGAAACAATCAGCTCACCTGTAAAGGTGCTTTTGAAGACTCACCAGAAGAGAAAATACGTGAGGTAACCTTATAAGCCTCAGAGAGGCCGTCCTTTTGCGCCCACTGTAGAAACACAAACGGACGCAGCCAATAGCGGCTCACTTCCTCACAGCGCGATCCCGTTTCTTGACATCTCATTGGACAGATGCGCGATCTGGTCATGGCGTTAGTGATAGGGAGTTCAATTCCTTTCCGCGAGTCGGTTCTTTCGAACGGATCGTCTCGAAGAACCGGTTGAAAAACAGATTCAATGATTATTTGCATTATCGCGAGGCAAACATCTTGTTCTTTGTGACTTTCTCGATTGGTCTTTATTATTAAGAGTGCGTATTGTATTTTAATCTGTCCCAGTTCAGTTTGTTATAGCCGTGATTCAGCTCATAAAAAGTCGACTTGAAAATAAATATAATTTATATTTCCAATAAACAATGCTAAATTCATTTGCATCTATTTGTTGAAATGTTTTGTGCGTTTTAGTAAAAACATCTCTGCATAGAAGAACTGTTATACAGCCGTAAACATATTTCCGTTACGTTTTGTTTGTAACAATTCGTGAACGATTCAATTAGATGGGGTTTGTGAACCAGTTCAAAAGATTCAACGAAAAGGTCCGTTCACAAATTGTACTTCGCAATATGACGTAACAGATGAATCAGGGTCAATTAAAGAAACATTGCAATTACTCAGTTTCATTAATCCAGGTACATCGGGCTGACTGTTGTATTCAGAAATATAGCTGACACGATATGTAGGAGTTTTATTGCAGAAAAGGTTCTAAGAGGAGATGTCGTCATCAGAGAGCGACATAACAACAAACGGCAGCGCTGGGTAGAAGGCTGCACGGGTCTGTATTGGTACTTTCACTATAAGATCATTTAAGAGCTTTCATGATAAGAGTACTTTTATGAAATCCACGCGCAACATACTTTAGCATAGATAGATGCAGTGTTTCAAAGTAGTTTGGTCTTTTGATTGTGTAGCAAAGTCTGATCATGGACAGTGAAGTTCAGAGAGATGGAAGAGTTCTCGATCTCACAGATGATGCCTGGAGAGAAGACAGACTGCCATATGAGGATGTCACAATCCCACTGGTAAAACTTCACATCTACAGTTTTGATTGTGCATTTCGAATTACGTACGTTAAAATGTATGTCCGTCATTATCATAAGTAACCTTCGCAATGATGGCGAGTACTGTTAATACTTCAGTCAGCAGTGGAATGTGCACATCGCAATTTTTTTTACTTCAATTTTTCATTTACATACGGTATAGAGAGAGCGGCCACATATTTTATGGGTGGAAATATTTGAGCATTAATACTTTATATTTGTATTAATTATATCATGTTTGCCATAATTGCTTAATAGCCCATTGTATGATTTAACTTTATTTCATACCTTTTTCTGACAGAGTGAACTTCCAGAATCAGAACAAGACAACGGCGGATCGACTGAGTCAGTCAAAGAGCAAGAGATGAAGTGGTCAGATCTCGCCCTGCAGAGTTTGCATGAAAACACCCCAAACGTTGGCACTTAGATGGGAAGATGCTCTGTCCTCCCCAGCCATGTATTATGATGATGGAAAGAACTCGACTCATTTCTGAACTACAACCTCAAATAATTGTGCCACTGTGATTTGCATTGTTTCGTTGTTTTGAGAGAGATATATATATATATATGTTTAAAATTTAAAGTGCAGTATTCATTTAAATTGAGTTGTGTGTTAGTTGTTAGCTAATTATTGTTAGTACACAGCATTCTTACAATTCAGACAATGTTCAAGGTTTCAAACTGGTTATCTAAAATACACAATACGTATATCGTCTGTATAGATTAGTTGCAACCTGTATGGGGTCCGTTTTTTTAAGAAATGTATACTTTTATTCAGAATGGACGCATTATCATAATTTGATCAAAAGTGACCGTAAAGACATTTTACTGTTACAAAAGATTTATATTCCAAATAAACTATGTTCTTTGAACTTTCTATTCATCAAAGAATTTTAATGCTTCTGGTCTACCCTTCCTTAAAGTTTGAAAGCCAGTGATTTCCACACATCCAGCTTTTCTATATGTATAACCACAACCCATTTGATAAGGCAAAGCATCTTACCGAGGGGCGATTCATCGACACTAAAGACTGTAGAGTAATGGCTGCTGAAAGTTCAGCTTTGCCATCACATGAATAAATTACATTTTAAAATATAACTAATAATAGTAATAATAAAGTTATTCAAAATTGTATCAAATAAATGCAAGCTTAGTGAACATGAGACTGCTTTCAAAAAATAAAAAATGTTCCCTACCCCAAATTTTTGAACAGTTGTGTACATTAGACATACCGTATATTATATATGAATGCTTAGATAGGTGTCGTATTCCCATAGGTTGATGGGGATCAGCTGAGAGTCAGCTGATGCGAGCTTGACTAACGTGACCTGCCAGAACTAACGCTAGGCTTGATTTGTATTAGAAACAAGAATTAGACTTAAACTATAAAGATGTTTTTTGTTTTTTTTTTGGCTTGTGATATTTTGATTGTACTATGCTAAAATGAAATTAGTGACTTAAGCAAGTGTAAAATAGCTAATTGAATTAAATGCACAAACAGTGAAGAATGGAATCAGTGAAGCATTCCTTCTTTCAGGCTAAGCTGAATTTTATTTGGGTTCAAAGGTGACAGAGATGCTCCATTTATACAAATATATCTGAAACATGGCTAACTGCGAGCATATTATGTTTTAGTCATAGCCAACATGTATAATACTTTCTTGGTATTACAAAAAGATGTGTTCAGCTAGGCGACTCCTTAGGCAGATGTGTAGAGGTTTGGGGGAATTTGACCAAATAGCTATGAATTTATAGTAAATGCTATCTTAATGGAGGTCTTTATTACAACAATCCATTTGGCAGCCAAATTCAATAAAATAACAGCAGCTGTAGGCCTATTATATTATAGATTTAAGCTGAATAAGTATTTGTTTTAAAAGAGAAATACTGGTATTGTTTAGCCTACTCGTTTGTTTGCTATACTAAAATATATTCCCCAGAAATGTGCATTAAAGGAGTAAATGTTATTTGAGGCTAAAAGAAATCCGACTGCAGGTTCATACAAGCTTGATTAAATTAGGCTCTGAGGCTTTAATGCTAAAGTTTTGGGTCAAATCCTCGTGATGAGAGTGCAAGTATGGATATGCTGCATTAAAATTTCAGTTTGGTCCCATAAATAGAGGTTACATATGAATGCCTTTATTTTTTTCCCACGCTAGCCACCCAACCGTTTTTTTTCACAGTCTAAAACAAATAAAAACAAGAAAACAGCATATTAAATGTCAATCATAAAAATGCTGGCAAAATGAAAATGAACTTCTTAAGACTTGGCAAAACACAAAAACAGATGTTATTAGGGGATCAACTACAAACATACAAATTATGCCATTGTGAGCTTGGGCTCATCTGAATACTCAAATTTTCAAGGCAACATAATGCAATAATAATTACTGTCTGACAGAACGGTAACATGCAATGACTTCGCTAAGCACCAAAAACGGGTCCCCTAATCATAAACTCTTTTAAATAACTAAAATATTGGTTTATCTCCACCGGACAGATTTGTTCTGAGGGCAATGTACATTGTACTAATTGCAAAAGCACAAATTGTTCAGTGTTATGAAATGAATGGACATTTTCAGGCAAGTGGTTCCCCTTACATAAAGTTTATGGACCTATGTGAAATTTAGTAATGCAGCTTGTTACAAAGACGTAAGTAAGGTGCTGGTCTAAAATCAGACAGAGACATATAATCATTATTATATACATTTAGTATATAATAAACAAATAAATACATTTAGTGATAACACATTAATCACTAAATGTATTAAAAACTCCGTCAATAACACATTTCTCTGAAAGTGGGACGAGAAATGTGTCTTAGTCACTTCACATTGGCACTCTCACCTTCAGTCATTCTCCAATATCTTAATGAATACTTATGCCATCACAATCTGCATTCATTGTTCATCCCTCCAACAACCCATCCAAGCAGAATTCAGTCAAATCTTGTCAAGTTTTAAAATGAAGAAAGAAATCCAGTTGCTTGTGATTAACCCCTATCATATATAATAGTAATGGCACAGTTTGGACAGTGAAAAATGCACATTTTGGGCCCCCAACCTGAAGGCAGAAAATTAAGAATTTCATGTACCACCTAGTTGTGTACACCGAGTGTAAAATGAAGGTAGGATGACTTAAACAGGGCTTCCCTTCCACTGTTACTGTAACATCCAGAAAGTACACTATACATATATATATATCAAGGTACACAGAACTGTTCTGTAAAATGTTGATTACATGCATTTCTAAAATGCAAACCTTTACACTTCATTTATATCCAGTCCCAGACCTTTTCAAAGTAATAAAACAGAACAAAAAGAATCCCTTATATCCAGATATACATCTTCCAAGATATACATAACTCGTCTGGTTATGATTCATGTAACATTTGTCAATATCACAGAATATCTAGAGTATATAACAAGTTATATCTCCACGTCACAATGTTTCAACAACTGATGAAATTATGGTACATTCAGTTCAGTAAAAAGTCTTACATTTCTTTGTACATAAAAAAAAGAAAAGGAAACTGAATGTAAACAGTCAGAAGGCAGTCCACTGTCCCGCAGAGGCTGTTAAACTTCAAATGAATTACTATTGACACCTACAATAATGTTCCAAATTTATCTGGTTTGTCATTAAATGTCTGTTTACTCCGCATTAATCTGTCTCTGGCCTCTGCACTGAAAGCTCAGCTTGTAAGAAGGCGCCCTGTCCCAAGGCAGTGGAGTATGCGCAATTACTATGTGGAGTTGAGAAACCAGGGCTGTGATAGGAGCTGGAACCACCTCGATTTGATAGTGATGTTTGGGACTGAGGTACTGGATGGTAGTCATCCAGGTTGTCATAGTGTGACTGTAAAGTAATGGCACTTTGTCTTTGTCCCTGTGACTGGTAAGAGTAGGATCCACTATGGTCTCTATCTGAATTGTCTGGTAGATGTGCAGGAAGACTGGACTGGTTGTAATGCTGCCGCTCTCTAACGCTATGGGATCTCTCTGGCTTGGGTGGAGGAGCTGGTTTCACTGGAGCCGCTTGTTCATCTTCACTGGCGCAGCTAGTGGCTTTAACCCTGCATATGTGGCGATCCAAATCTGACATTTCGTAACGAGGTTGGGCACTCCTGCTCTCCGAGTGTTCCTGCCAATGTTTACTGCTCAGTTGCTTTTCCCCTGGTTCAAACTTCGGGTCAAGATGGCCACCTTCAGGTAAGTGCTGCAGGCTTCGTGGTGGAAGTTGCGATTGATGTGAATGGATGGACGAGTAGGTCCTGGAGCTGCCTTGTTTGGTGGTTTTGTCCCCCATCCCATTTCCTTGGCAGTGCTTCTCTGTTTCCATATACATCAGGACATCTGGATCAGAGATCAAGTGCCTGGGAGCATGCTGAGATCCAGATACGATATTATATTTGGCCTCCTTGCTCTCGGTAGCCATCAACACAGTTTTGCCAGGATCTGATTTGCTCCGCAAGTGTAACATGTCTATATCCACTGGCATGTAGGGTCCTATGTTGTCATACTGAGACATAACAGAACCCTTAACTTTTTGCCTTGCTCTGCTTTCCCTGCGGATAGAATGTACGCGAAGCCTTTCTGCTTCTTCTGGATCCCACGCAAAGTAAACACTCCCTTTTAAACCACTGTAAGGTGGCATGTCTCTGCTTACGAAGCTATGCTCCTTTAAAGGAATGAAATGCCGTGAAAGGTAGTGGTAGCCTCCGGATTTGGCTCCAGTCTGAAGGAGAGGGGCACTGTCCCGACCGCTGAAGGAATGGACGTGCCGTAAGCGGATCGTACCATAATGGTCCACATCGTAGAAAGGGGCATCCAGAATGTGAGAGCCAGAGTAGGGGCTGTAGCGGTACTGAACTCTTCCATTCTCAAAATAAGGCTGCAGTTGTGTGACGTGGTAGTCGGCTTGAGAGGGCGGTTGGTGAGACTTGCAGTGGTAGACTGGGCGCTGGTAGTAAAATAACTCATCATCTGGTGGAACCTCGGTTCTGGTGACCGGCATTGAGCGGATGGCGGTGGGGGGCACATGTAGGGAGTGGACTCTACGGATTGTTGGGTACACGGTAGGTCCATCTACTTGGCTGTAGCCATGGGAGTGGTGCAGTGAGCTTGGAGAAATGTATTCACTTCTCAGTGGGCCACGAGATTTGATAGACTGGTGGTAGGACCTAGGTCCAATCGTATTGTATCGGCCATCACCGTGGCCTCTATAGGAAATCTGTGACTCTGATTTTGACACATAAGAAACATGTGGTGGAACACTCTCTGGTCTGTAATGGTATGCCATCGTAGCCTGACCTGAAGGGGATACCCGCTGATGGTAATACACTTCTGTGGTGGGCTCCAGTAGGGCAGCATCCCCTTTTGAGTGACAAATGTAACCTGTCTGATGAGTGGAAGCCCTGCGATGAGGTGGATGAGACTGTGGGGGAGTCTCCTCCACTGAGCCTCTCATGGATGTTTCTAATATGGCATGAAAGTTGGCAGGGTTTGCAGCCTCAGTGTTGCAGAGAGCAGCCATTGCTAGTTTACTTTCAATAGAACGAACTGGGGGTGTTGGCGGCATCACTCCCTGAGTATGGTGTGGAGGAGCACTATCTGCTTTTGGATGGACAGGCTTAATGGCTTCCCATGGTTTTTCCACAGGATCAAGAGGTGCTGCGGGGGTTGGTGCAACTCTAGCATTGGGCTGCGATTTGGGCTGAAACTGAGGTTGTGCTTGTGACTGAGAATGAGGCTGAACTTGAGGTTGAGACCAAATCGCTGCATTAGGTTGAGTCTGTATTTGTGGCTGAGGCTGGAGAATTGCGACTGGTTGATCTGGCGTCTTTGTGGGTTTTGGTGGCATAACCATTTCAGTCATATGGAACTAGGGATTAAGCCCAAACAAACACTGTTAGGTTTCTTACATATTTCCCTTTTTGCATTTACATGTGCTGTAATTTTAGCTATTGATATCAATACCAGATTAATGATTGAATAATTCTTGATACTAATTTTGTTGCAATATGACAAAACTGAAATATCACACAACATGCAAAAAACATGTACTACTAACAAATTAAATTAAAACAACGGGAGCAAGCTTTTGATCTTACATACTTTCATACTAGCAGGCAAACAGCACTAATGCTTAACATGCTTTTCTAATTTTGAATTTACAATGGTGAAGGCCAGGCTCATGAATATTTATAAAATTATTTAATGTTCAGCCTTGGTACTGAAGTACTAGTGCTACTGACATCCCTGCATGTACCACTGCTTACCTCAGAGCTAGGTTGTTGAATGACAGTATCCTTGCTGCTGATAGATGGTGTGGTAGTGGTTTTGTCTGTGCTCACAGGTGTCTGGCCCACAGCTGGCTGCTGCCTTTCTGGGTTTTTTTGTGTTTGGGAAACTTGAGAAGGTTGACTAGAAGGCATAGCACTCTGGCTTGGGGTCTCTGGTGAGACAACATCCTGGTTATTGCAAGAAATGCTGGATGGCTTCCCACAATCACCTGTGTTGAGGTGCAGGCTGACGGAGCGAGTTAACTTTTCAGCTGGGGTGGAGGGTGGTGAAGACGTAGGAGCAGACCTCTTTGACACTTCTACTGTAGCTTCCTCCAAGGATGTCTGTGATGGCAAGGAAGGAGGAGGAGGCCAGTCCATGGTCTCCAGTAACCCTTGTGGCCTAATGGGGGACACTGGTGTAGGGGGTCCAGAGGATTGCCTCCGAGAAAGAATAGTGGCCTGCTGGGCAGATTCTGCTAGAGCTAGTGCAAGCATGCGGGCAGCGTTCTTTGGTGGGGGAGCGGGAGGTATGAGGGACACAGAGCTGACAGGGACATTGCCCTTTGGTGAGTCCAGAGCTACAGCTCCTACAGATGGACAAAACAGAGGGAACTCAAACAAGGAGAAGGCAGGCTAATATTCATGAGAAGGTAAGAAAGGGAAATGTTAAATTTCTACAGATTGTGGACAGATTTCTCTACATTGAGGCTGTTTGTGCAAAGCGCTACTGGTTAAAGCCTGGTGAACTAAACCTGAAAAATCAAATAATTATCTTATGAAACCCAGCATACCTTGGAGGTTCATATCACAGTGGCATCAGGGTTAATGATAGTATTTACATTAAAATAAAATAATAATAAAAAGAAATCTAGTATTTAAGTTCTTAATGTACTCTCTGTATTCATGTTTGTTTCAAATATTTTTGAAAAACTTAACCATCATTATAAAATCTTTTATAAAATGATATCAGGACAGCTGTTTCACCCTAACACTTTGAATATTAATTTTAATGCAGGAGATAAAAATATTCTCATCCTAGAAGAGGTGTATTAAACTAATTCAGGATAAAAATGTCAATGACTCCTCAAGAAACATTATGGATTTAAGCTATCATATCCCTGTGTTTCAGTTCAGCTTACCTGGCTGCTCTTGAGAACAGGTGACCTGTGGTGGCTGTGAACATTCAGTGCTTGATATGTCTTTACTCTCAAAGGTAGTAGCTTTAGAAAGAAGCTCTTGCTGAATGGCTTCACTCAGGGGCAGATTGGTGGTTCTTGACAGAAAGCTCAATTTTGCAGGAGAGTCGAGTGGAGATGGAGTGGAAGAGGGCTGAAGCACAGTGCTCTCTGGTGCTTTCCTTATCATGGAGGGAGCTGATTCAGAGACGCTTAGAGGAGTCACAACAGCTGACTTCTCACAGCTCTCAAGAGATTGAACTGGAGTTTTCTCTGAGAAAGACGCAGGGGGCAGTTTATTTCTATCCTTTAAGGCTGGACTGTGGTCTGGAGACACAGAATGACTTATAACTTTAGCTCTGACTGGCGAGACTGGCTCGGAGACACTAGCACTGGCCAGGCTCCTCTTCAGACTGCTTTCATCTGTGTCCAGTGAGAAAATGGAAGTCTCTGCCAGAGGAAGGCTACACTGGAAAGACATGGGGTCAAAGTCTAAAGAGGCCATGCCAATGTCAGGAGGGCTCAAGTCCACATCATCAGCGGAACGTGGCGGGGAGATAAGAGCAGGCACACAGATTGGTCCATCATCCCCATCACTCTCCCCATGGCCCAGATTGTCATATGAGTTACAGTGTTGTCTGCTATCCAGTAGATCACCATTGAAGGAAGCAGAGAGAGCATCACTGCTGGAACGAGGTCTGCGTGGCCTGTACACCTTAGACTCTCCTGTTAAAGGAAAAGCAAAAAAATTTGAATTTCACAATGGTTGGTTTACAACTTGAGGCTGAGCTTTTTTTTTTTTTTTTTAGAGCTTTAGGAGTCTGTTACCTTCAACGTTATGTAAAGAGGTGAGAGACTCCTCACTTTTGGCAGACCGAAGAGTACTGGTGTCTCCTCTTCCTCCTGAGCAGGGAAAATAAAGCAGGAACAGAGAAGTTACAACAAACTGCTTATGCATAACCAAACAGAGTTCTAGAATTCTTGACTCTGATTGGTCTCTCGTAAATGCTCTGCAGTCTCTCTGCTCTCACATAATAAAATCATTTAAACGCAAATCATTATTTCATGTCCATTTATTTATTTATTTATTCAGTAAATAGCCGTGTAATTAGCAGGGTAATTTACAATCAGCTGGTCATTACTGCTAAATAAACGTCTTCCACAAGATACAAGGCCTGATTAACCACTGGGTTTATTTTGTGATAATGACTATCTGACATTTAAAGATGACAAAATGGCACAACACTAACCAGCATATGCCATGGTCTTGAGTTCATTTGGTTCACTAGGATTGCGGTGTAGTTTTCGTTTAGACATCGAGGAAGACTTGCCCAAGTTGAAAAAAGACCGCCAACTGCCAACTGGAGACTTTTTAGACTTTATGGGCTGTCTTTTCCTAGGAAAATAAAAATGATAAAATGTACAAAATGTATCTCTTTGAGAATAACAGGCACATAATTGGTCTCTTTATAACAGCATTAAAGGGGTCATAGGATGCTCATTTTCCACAAGTTTATATGATTCTTTAGGGTCTTAATGAAAAGTCTGTAACATAGTTTGGTTAAAATTTCTCAATGGTAGTGTAAAAAACACCTTTTTTACCCTGTCAAAAACAGCTCTTTTCAGATCAAGCCGTTTTTGTAGCATTTTCCTTTAAACGTTAATGAGCTCTGCTGACCCCGCCCCTCTCTTAGGTAAGGTAAGACACCAGTCCAGTCTGTGCTGAAACGCTACTGTCAATCAAATTATCGTGGGAGGGGCCTGTCACACAGACAGGCATCTGAGATCGGCTCGATTTGAGAAAGGTGAAAACATTTAACCATATAAAAAAAACACTACTGGGTGGATTTTTATCATTATAGGGTGGTTGTGTACACACACTGTCAACACACATTTCAGTTCAAACAACTTGTAAAAGTGCATGTAGCATCCTATGACCCCTTTAAAAAAATGACAACATTTTAAAGCTCGCTTTATACCTCTCAGTGGGGAATTCAATGACCGTGTGGAATTTTCCCTGTAAGGCTGCAGGACCCTCTCCCACCTCTATGTACTTGCTGTCTGCAGTGATGGGTGAGTTGATCTGGGCCTGGGTACGGGCCTGTGCCTCTTCTAATGTTAGCAGCTTTGTGGATGGAGAGGGCACCAACAAAGATTTAGGCCGAGACAAAGAGTTGTGTCCTACAAAGACAAAGAAAAGTGTGATGAATACATAGCAATATAAAAAAAAAAATGAAATATCTGTCAATATTTAATCTGTCCATATTGCATACCTGTTCCCTCTCGTATAAGCGAGCTCAGTTTGGGGCTGAAGAGAACATCCACATGGTTGAGGATGAACTCCACCACCACCGACTGTATTCGCACCTCCATGAAGGCTGCTGTGCCGCTGAAGCAAGCCGATTCTATTTGCTTTGACCTTTTTAGTTGAGAATAAAAATCAAAGATTAGTTATGAATACTAGGTTTTTATATTCATAGTTATAAAATTGTATCCATAAGTATCTGTTTTCACAAACATTACACTTGCATCATGCAGAGATCTTACCTCAGTAAGTTGGGGGCCCAAACGATGGCCAAATTCTTCGTATGCATGTTTGTTACATAGCTGAAGGTTGCTAAGTGTGAAAGATGCCTCATAAGAAACTCAAGAGTCCTACAAGAGAAGCATGAATATTTAACGTTAAAACTACAGTAAATGCAGGAGAGTCGAAAAATTTTGAAAAGAGGACTGCAAGTCCTATAGCAACCAGCAGAGGGCATTGTGGTCATTTACAAACCTATAGTGTGGAGGCGGCAGCTGCTGAATGACATCATGTATTTTGATCAGCCTCTCCTCATCAGTGGCTGCTGACACAGCCTCCTAAAAAGGAGAAGAGCGGGTGTAAATCAGGGTCACTGCATCTAGAGCAACTCTAACCAACAAAAATACTCTCAAACCCATGTTCACACTATACTGCTGAGTGGACAAAAGCACATGGTCAATCACATTTCCTGTGCATTATAGTTTCACTGCTTCCATAGCAACCTGAAAACACTGATGCGCTCTTTACTCTGGCTGTTTTCATTTGCAGGGACTTATCTCCAGATGCTGTAAATGTCAGTGCTTTGTTTGGCATGCAGATGAACTCTGTGAAGCAGGGTTCTAATAGACAAGCAATTCATTTTGTGTACTCATTAAAAGCAATCAATACAACAAATAGCCTAAAGCCTTCAACGACTTCTGCGCTGTTTTGCCAGTCTCAGATAAGAGACCCACGCATATTATCACACCAAGAACTAAAAAGGTTTTGATATCATAAGTATGGACTGGCTGTTCTAGTATAATAGGTGCTCTCAGCTGGAGCTATTTGTATGACAAAGAGTGTGTGAGTTTGAGAAAAGGCTCTTTATAAGGCCTGTCGTTCTGGGATAAATGCTTACCGAGAATTTCTCATACAGCTGGTAGGTGAGAAGTGGGTTGGGAAGCTCTCGAAAGTAAAGCTTGCACAGGGAGCCCACGCAGTGTATGTCTTGAATGTAAACATCTTTTGTCAGATCTGGGATCTGTTCAGAGTCAAATTCATGCCTAAAGTGAGAGAGAAAGAAAGTGCTTGATGTATTCAAATAATCTCACAGTAGGCTACTTGGTGTGCTTAAAACCTGAATTTCAACCAATTTGGATGAAATGACATTAGCTTCTAATATCTTATAACATTTGAAGTAACTGACGAACAATTTTGGTTTTCAATGGTTGATGCCGATGAACAAGTTAATTCTTTTATTCACCAAGGACGCATTAAATTTATCAGAAGGGACAGCAAAGACATTAATACGGTTACAAATTATTTCTATTACAAATAAATGCTCTTTTGAACTTTCTATTCATCAAAGAATCCTGAAAAAATGTATCACGGTTTCCACAAAAATCTTAAGCAGAACTATTTTCAACGCTGATAATAATAAGAAATGTTTCTTGAGCACAACATCTGCATATTAGAATGATTTCCATAAGGATCATGTGACACTGCCACAACTGCTGCTAAAAATTGAGATTTTCCATCAAAGCAATAAATTACATTTTAAAATATATAACAATGGAAAATAGTTATTTTAAATTGTAATATTATTTCACAATATAACTGTTTTTACTGTATTTTTTTAATCAAATGAATGCAGCCTCAGAGAGCATAAGATAATTATTTTAAAAACATCTGAAAAAATCTTACAGACCCCAACCAAACTGGTATGCTAGTGTGACATTTACATAAAATGCAGAAAAGTAAAAAATAAAATAAATTATAAAAAAAATATTTATTACGTTTTAAGTTTATCCAATGACATGGCTGTACATGTAGCAACACAAGGGGGAGGAAAAACTTGTTAATCGGTCAACTTTCTGGTGAACTCATTTCCTCCTGTATTCAACAATACAAACATTCCCATTATGAAATGTAATTATCAGCAGCTTAAAATTCAGCCACTGCATTCAGAGTTTCTCAAGCAGTATGATAAATCTCTATCTCTGCTACTTGCAATTAGGGGAGTGTGTTTATGTCCTACCGCAGCTTCTGAATGTTGGAGGCAATCCCAGAGAGACGGTACATTCCATCAACCACTCCATGCTTCTCAATGAACTCAGTGCAGCTCTTGAGTACCTGGGGGACTAGAGGTTTAGACAAAATGTTACTGGAGCATCCTTTTTGGCACGTAAAGTGTGAGAGTTGTCAAAATGCCAATGGAATAGAATGCCAGATTCTTTGTGCAGTAAATTTCCGATTTTGTAAGGTATAAATAACTTCAACAACTGCCAGAGACAGGCCCGATCGTCAGATAACAAGTCCAGGCTCTCCTGTATAAGCAGAGTTTTTAGCTTCACATTTGCTCCAGTGGCATCAGACAAACTCCAGACCTCCAATGCGACCTTGCAATGTTTCACCCAGAGGAATCATAGTCACAGACAACCCTGACTGGCCTCTAGTCTTGACAAACTTTATCCGGCAGATGAGTGAGTCCAAGACTTTCAGAGGCAGCTGTTCATCTACATTCCTGACATAGCAGTCTGAAGTACAAAATCCTCAAAAATGCAAGACCATTTTTGTCTCTAAGCCATCTGAAAAATCTTTCAATCAGCGCTTCACAATAAGGATGGCCTGTGGCCATTGTGAGTGTTTCAGGCCAGTTAATGTAGCTGTCACTTGCCCTATAAGGCCAGTAATACATTCTTTATATCTTACAGTATGTTCATTGATCACGCACATGGGTTTTTATGCTTTGCACACATATACATTTGGTTTTCTGTGATTCTGTGTTGTTAATTCTCCTGATTTAAACACATGACCCAGCTAAAGCTGTCTAGCTGGCAAACATAGATAAATTGACAAAACTGAGAATGATTTGTGATATTCTTAGAAGCATCAGTCTGAATGGTTTAAAAATGACAAATCACAATTTTTGTTTCCTGCAAAAGTGTAAATTATAAAAAGGTAAATTATAGCTGTATAACTTCCAGTTGTTTGTGCAAATTATAAACCTAGTAATTTGCTATAAATATAACAATAAAACAAATACAGTACCATTCAACTGTATTTGTAGTTTGGGGTCAGTAAAGTTTATGAAAAAACTTATGAAAAAATTATCTTGGGCCCACCAAGGTTGCAATTATTTTATATATAAAAAAATACAGTAAAAATAGTAATATTGTAAAACATTATTACAAATTAAAATAACCATCTTATTTTAATATATTTTAAAATGGAACATTTTCCTGTGATGGCAAAGCTGAATTTGTGAAAAATTTCTTATTACTGATTTTGAAAATAGTTGTATGCATCCTTGCTGACTAAAAGGATTAATTTCTTAAAATCTTAGTGACCCCCTACTTTTGAATGGTTTGATTTTTTTGACAGAATTTTTTTAACCCTTTCAATACTTCGAAAAATGCAGCAAATTACTTCACATGCCAACATCCTTGTGGCACCAAAAGAGAAAGGAAAAAAATGTGTTTTGCTCTCTAGCAAAATACTGTCCAAGAGTATAATAAGTGCATTGCAGGGAGATCTGCAGAGCTTTATGTTAATATGACTGATCCATTCTAATGACTCTCTACTTGAAGAAAGTGTTTAGCCATCATCGTCTCACATTCCTCTGAGATCAGAGCGTCTGAGATGGAGAGTACACATTCTGCCATTACCCATTTTACAAACACATTAAAGCTGAGCGGGCTCATAGGTGAGAGAGGACAGTGAAGGGAGCGAAAGATTCAGACCTTGGTAGTAAACCTAAATTTTATCATCTATCTAACCAACTACAATGGGTGACCTTTTGTAGGAACACATTTTTAAAGAATACCAGGAATTTCTGCTTTGAGGATACTTGCTCCTGAGGGAAAGAATGTCCATTCTTCATTTAATAAAAGCAATGTTTTTTTTTCCCCGTCTAAAAGTAATGGTCGAGCAGTCGTACTAAGTTGTGTGGATCCCTTTTGAAAAGGACAAGGCTTAGATTTTAAGGGCAGGCAATGGCTCAGGGAGGATTTGAAGTCAAACAAATGGAGCAAATGCTGAAGGCTGCCAGGGAGCTTTGAATCAATGGGGAAGAAATCTCCAGACACGGCCCCCTAACCATTCCTCCTGACCTTTAGACCGCTTTAAGCCAATCAGATGCCATGGCAACCCATGCAGCCAGATCCAAGGGCTATTCTAGAGGAGGAGGGTTAGCTATGCTTTCCAGCCCACCCACACAGTCTCACATTAGTGTCAAGCACCTTCTGGAGCATGAGTTTGAGTAGGACTAGAAGGGGGCAAAGCTCACCGTCATGGCCGGAGTTGAGGAGATGTTCTCCTAGGTCACAGCCGAAAACCCTCTCCCTGAGGATACCTCTTTGCTTCAGTTTCTGCTTGGTCGGCCTGGACTTCATGAATGTGCGTAGAAAAGTGATCAGTTTCCCGTGTTTCTTGGACACTGAAAGATAAAAATGAAAATACGCAAATTTAAAAAACTGCACTGTGAGTCACAAGCAGCGCAACAATAAATGACCCCAAGAAAATCCGGTTTAACAACAGGCCAGTGCCAGCCACATCATGTCAGCGAGCCAAGATCTTATGAAATGAAGAAAGCAAATACACTTGGTTGTGTAAGAATAATGGGTTTATGCATTAACCCTGTTCCTTTACTACAGGAATTTGCCAAATCCTACATTGTAAGCGGTTTCGTCAACCGAGCAGAATTATTAATTCACTCAAATTCGTGAGGGACGTACATCCTCCATCTCTGGGTGTTTGTTCTACATTTGGTAGAGCAAAATCAAACCACTTCATTCTCTATGGATCAATGCAACTGTTATAGAGGCGCAAGTACAGTAGCATATAATCAACTATGAATTTTACAAGTTTAATCTAAAAGCTCAGCACTGGAAGAAAAAGCCTGAAGATGAGTGGCTGACATACAACATCTGTGAAAGTCATCTCATGAAAGAATTAACTGTTTCCTTTTATTTCATTTTTGAATGAGGCCAAGCAAGAAGGACGTCTCAAGCTGTTTGGTCTTCGGAGCAGCTTGCATTGTTATTACACCCTGACACTAACCACCATACCCCAAAAAAAATCATTTCAGCAGCCTCACCTAGAATTTGCATGAGAAACTCTTGGACGATACAGCGGAAAAGTATCAAGAGAGAAATTCCAAGGATTTGACAGGAACACACAAACGCACCAAAATAATTCCACTGGATTTGCTATAAAACCCAGAGTCCTGTATTGCAATTGCTCATTTAACTGGGATTGTTTTCAATGTTCCTCATAAAATATTAGCAAGCTTAAATATTCCGAACCAATTAACTGTTTGCATAATGAAGCTGTATGAATCGGCAAACAATCTGTTGCCGGAAACAACTTCAGAGCTGTTACAAATGCAGCTGGGATTCCTGAAAACCACAAACTGGTCCATCTGTGTTTATGTTTGTGGTGGATTTAGCAGGAGACTGAGTAAAAATGATTAGCAAAATAATTGCAAATATTAAACTGTTGTTTATTTTAACAGTTTAACTCCCTGGTGATTTTAAGGATGTGTGATTCTTTGCACGCTGAAACCACAGTGGACGTGGCAAGGCGACATCTGCCAGCTGTGATTTCATCTGTTCCTTTGTGTGTCTTTACCTTATAAAAAGGCACATTACTCACAATTTTTCATCGTAAAGGGTATCAACATTTTTCCAACAATCGGTTACAGCTGGTCTGAATGCAATTAATCCTTTCATATCCAGTCGAGGTTAATCATGAAAAGAGCCATTGTAGGAATTTCCTGTTCTACTTTTCAAGAGCCAATAAAAGTAACTGCCACACATTTCACAGATCCTCTTATTCCGAACTCCACAACAAACCAAACACAGGGCATGTGCTGAAGTTCACAGAAGCAGCAAGAAGACTCCGTGTTACTAAAGAATGAGTGTTTCCTCCAGGCTGCACTTTACCTCAGCTGAGGAGACACTGATGACGTTACAGCACAACGTGACTGACACACTATACGTTTTTCTTTTTTCCCTCCAAATCAACGCTCACAACATGAGTTCCAATGACTTGCCAAAAATTTTAGTCATAAAATAACTTACTTATGACTTAAAATATGACTTTGCTACACAAATCAGAATACACAAAATCTACAGAGAAAGGCGATTAGAACAAAGTCAACAAAATGCATTTATCACAAATTAACACCAGTGAGCAAATATTTTAAATGCTATTGTTTTTAGCAGTGCAAATGACTAAACCCTAGGTAATTTACACACAAATGTGTCTATAGAAAGCACTTCAGTCGCATATACAGGTCTGAGATAGTTTAGCAACTTTATTAGCACTAAAACGGCAACTTCATAACTTACCTCAATATGAAATATCCATGAAAAAGGGCAGAAAAATGGTGTTTGAGTATTCTTAAGTTTGCCAGGCAGCAGCTGCTGTAGAGAGCTCAAGACACAACGGTGAAGGATCATCACAGACCACACTCTCTCTCTCACTTTCCCCGCCAGCCGGTAAAAGCTAATAGTCAACATGCATTCTTTCCTCTTTGCTTTTTCCCTCCTCTCTTTCCTTTCGGAGTTTGTCCAGCCCCTAATATCAACTTTCAACAGCGCTGGCTTCTAACTGCAGAGATCGGGGTGTGAGCAGCCACGCAACCCAGAGAACGACAGTTTCAGCCTGCAGGCTGTTGCATTTATCAGATATCCACTATCGAGTGATGAATGTGCTTTGAAAGACAATGGCAGTACAACACAGCTGTCTCCTGCGATGTTCTATTTAGGCTACAGCTTAAATATGACTTAGTAAAACTTCAACAAAGCAAGAAGTCAGACGAACATAAATATAACTCATTTGACTACACCACCAGTGCAACAACAATGCACTCTTTCTAAAGAAACTCATTCATAGCCAAGCCCATGTACCATTCAGCTTTTACAAACCAGACATGGTACAGCCATGAGGAACTGACAAAGACTACCCTGTCTGCACTCTAAAGCAACAGGTTTGTGGCAAAACTGTCAAACACCACAGAGATCCGTTTTTTTGCAAGATAATGCTGACCCAGTGATGTTAATTGGACAGATCTGTGATATAAGTTGCAATAAAAAAGCCAAAAGTTTAAAAGTTTGGGGTGTGTAAGATTTTTTTTTCTCTCATGCTCAAGGCTGCATTTATTTGATCAAAAATGCATTAAACACGGTTTTCTAATGTACATATATTTTTAAATGGAATGTATTCCTGTTATGGCAAAGCTGAATTTTGAAAGTCATTACTCCAGTCTTCAGTGTCATATGATCCTTCAGAAATCATTGTAATATACTGATTTGGTGCTCAAGAAACATTTCTTCTTATCATCAATTTAAAAAACAGTTGTACTGCTTAATATTTCTGTGGAATCTGTGATACTCATTTTCAGTATTCTTTGATGAACTGAAAGTTTAAAAGAATAGCTTTTATTTTATAGAAATTTTTCATAACATTATAAATGTCTTTAATGCCACTTTTGAACAGATTAATGCATCGTTGCTAAATTACAGCATTAATCTCCTTAAAAAAAGTTTTAAAAAAAGCATACAGACACCAAACTTTTTAAAGGTAGTGTGCATACATAATACTACTACTACTAATAATAATAAAACAAAAACCCTAAAACCATTATGAGAGTTAATAGGAATGTGCACAAGTACAACAAACAACAATAAACCCAACCCAACAGCTAACAGGAGTTCATATAAAAGTCTCTAGTAAGGAAGTACACAATCCCCTGTAGGACAAACGGACACATATTGCTGTGTAAACCTTATACAGTTTGTCTCTCGTTCTCTCACAGCTCCTTCCAGCTGTCTTGGCTTGTTCACAGAGGCAGCTGCCCTTTACTCCACTGAGAGGAAGACGTTGCCCCACAAGGAAGTTAGGAAGTGAGAGGGAGCTAAGGGAGCTACATCTGGAGCAGCACCTGCTACAGCTGAGAATAAGGGAATGACATAAATGCAGTTTGGTCTGTGAATGTGAAAGTGTCTGTACAAGAACAAGAAATTATTACACTTCAGGCATTTTCAGAACACACAATATGCCCTATTCATGCTCGAAAACCTTGGTAAATAAAATATTACAGCAACCTTTATCACTGTTACACCACCTGCATGATAGGACATTATGTGGTTAACCATTTACATGGGGCATTTGCTTAATGAGGTGAATGATTCATAAGGCATTTAGTGTTCTTTGATAGGTGCTTGCTGCTCGGCTAAAGCTCTACAGGGGAGCAGGGAGGTATGCTGTATTTGAGCATGTACAAAGGCAGTACACAAGAATATGTTTGAGTCACCATGGAGAGACTGTAGTTCATATTGTCAGTGGACAAAGATGGGATTATTTTATAGCCTTTCCTAACCAGGGTCATGTAAATCAGCCCAGGAGTGTGTTGCAAAATAACTTCACAATAGGGCTTTCTGGAAAACACAATGAGGTGTACTTGAAAGAGCAGTGGAGCAGTGCCATAAACTGATGTCACAAGCTTCATTTCATATACAGACACATTAAGTGTAGACATAGTCAAATAAGTAGAGATGCAATGATATTAAAATAATTTTCAGTATCGGCCAGAATTTTCATGTTATGGATGACAAGCAATAAATAACAGACATTAAAATTCTATTCAATTTCGTCTGCATAAATTAAAAATAAAACACTAAAAACTAAAATCAATTTAAATGATTCATGATTTCAGACATCACAACATTATAGTGCACAGTATGAAAAATTGACTTTTTTTTATTAAAATTTTTAAATTTAATTTCAAAGTGGCAAAGATCATCTACATGTAACAATAGGGATGAGTATGTACATACATTGTATGTACAATGAAAATACAATATTGGTCAATATTTCCATATTATGGCTGATAAATAGCAGACTTTAAAATTCTATACTATTTAAATATATTAAAAAATCTTATTAATGTATCTTATAAATTAATTACATTAGCATTTTTAAAGATTAATTTTAAGTGAGCATTTAATGATGGCAAAGACAATCTAAATGTAAAAATAGGGGAAATGAGCATGTACAATTAAATATCCAAAACCGGCCAATACTGATGATCTCTAATATTGTTTGAGACCCGATATAGTGTCTACACATCATGCATCTCTACAAAAAGAGACAATCTAGCAGTATTAAAGTAAAATAAAATGCAAAAACATTGCTAAACAGAAACATGCATTCAAATGCAGGTCAAAAGAGAGAGAGAGTGCTATCAGGGTAAATCTATAAGACAAGGGTCAAAGTCACATACTAGAGACACCAGAAGAGTGTTAAGTGGAAAAATCAAGACTATATTTGTTGTGCTTGCATCAAATCTTCATATAGTTAACACATGATGTTAGGAAAGACCAGTGAAACTACATTTTAAAGCTATGGAGTGCCAGTAGTGTTCAGAGCACTCGTGAGTGGCAGGCGACTGTGCAGAGATGCACAGGAGAGTTCGGGGTTAGTCCGTGTTAGATGTAGTACGTGGATAAACAGTTTGGTCTACCTGAGCTCAGCCTGTAGGGGTTTAATGGGTCGGGTGCCCATGCACTGTTCTGCTTTACACTCTCCATCTCCAAATCTGCACGCCGGGAGGAGAGAAGGGGAGAGGGAGGAAGGGACCCAGTTAGAGAACATGAGAACAGCAGCTGCACATGCAGCTCTATTAGCTTAGCAGTCTTTCAGGAGAGTTTTCCCTTTACTCCACATTTCCTGTCCATTAGGAAAGTTTCACAACAGTTCTGAGGCTGCTATAAATGATAACAAACAAGATGGTGCAGTAAAATGCAAATAAAGACACACTAGACTAACATGGATAAGAGTGTTCTAAGATGCAGTGCAAGAGAAACACTGTTTTATGATTCTGCCAAAGGACAACTTATGCATGCAGGAAGACAGTATGATAAAAGAATGATAGTGATAAAATGTGCCTTAAAGTGATAAAGTGTGTGTGTGTGTGTGTGTGTGTTTGTGTGTGCCTGAGAAAAAGAGAGCAGGAGATGGAGGGTGTGCGACTATATGTATGTTTGTGTTTAAAGGGATAGTTAACACAAAAATGAAATGGTCAGCATTTACTTGGCCTTATGTTATTCCAAACCGGTATGCTAACCAGTCTCTTTACAAAACAAAACAAAACAAAATATTTTAAAGAAAATAAAAATAAGACAGTAAAAAACAAAATAAAAAGAAACCAAAGAAACTAACCAGCGTCTTTGCATCTCCAAAAATAAATGGAAAAAAAATAAATAAATAAAATATATACATGCTTCACGGAGAAAAAAGTCATATGAGTTTGGAACAACATGAAGGTGAGCACATTCACAGATTGTTTATTTTTGGGTGAAATAGCCCTTTAAGTTAAAGCTGCAGTCCGTAAGTTTTGCCTCTTTGTCGCCATCTCTGTTTGAAAACCTGGAATTGCAGTTACTTGCGGAATTATCTAGCTTGTGTGGGTTGTGCTGCGGCACGGCTCCAGCGCGGATGAATCTAATGTTTTGAGGAGTATGTGTGGCAGTCAGTCACCGCACCGGTGTGAATCCTATACTTAGTAATCACAGATTCTAGCCTACGTCTTGGAATATATGACTCAAATAAGCATTTTCACCGTATATTGTCATCTGAACAAGTAACAAGTCTGCCACGTTTGTTCTGACCAACTGAGGAAAAAAGCATTACAATAAATCACGCTACCAATGGTGATTTATTCTAACGATCGATTAGCTCATATCACATCAAACCATGCAAATTATTATTATTGTTATACTTTATTCTCAGATTATTAATGTTAACAACATCAGTATTGCCTGACTATGAGTATAGTGTGTATTAGCGTGTAGATTTCAATTTCTGCAGTCTAATCTCTAATTGTCATACCATTTGGATTTCATACCAAGAAATTCTTTTAACCCAAAAAGCAAACTATGCTCCCTTCGAACTGGTTGTCTTTAAAATACAAATCCTGTGTAATCCCAGGCTATCTGTAATCAGAAGCACATTTAAAACTGGAATATAATTTAATTTCATTCACCTGTGTTTCATATAATCCTTTCTGGATTACAATCCGCCATCAAAATGATTTTTTGACATTTAATTATTCTAGCTGCTGTGAGAAAAGGCTATAAACGATCCGCCTGCTGCAGCATCCTCACATGCGAAAGCCTAGCAGCCGGGACAACTTCTTTATGTTTACAGAAAATACGTAATGACGCAGCGGCCCACAAAAACCTACCCGTACCACTCAAATTAGAAAACATTATTATTAGCTGACCGTTGTGAATCGGGCTAAAGTAAGGCGATAATTTTGAACACTGGCTGGTTTTGTACTTGCTCAAATATTGATTTTGGATCATTTTTAACCAAAAAAAGTTACGGACTGCAGCTTTAAAAAGGGAGGCATTGGGGAGAGTATACCAGCACGCACAGGGTGGGAACAGACTCCAGGAGGCCGGCCGCAGACCAGAGCAGGGAGACACTGAGGGAGCAGTGGAAGAAGCATGGTCAAATAACACATCACACATGCATGCATTAAGTGCAAAGCAATGCAACATACATTCCAAATACAGTGTCACCACAGAGTCAGTAGATGTAGAAGCAGTAAAAAAATAGAGCTAAGCCCCAGGAAAAAGCTTCTGCATAGTCAAAGCTAATAATATAAACTTTGTTAAAGTATAAAGCACAAAGCAGAGCAGCGCTGCTTTGTTTAAAGCCACCTGCTGTCAGAGAGTGAATTTGCATCTCATTCAGCCCGTCTGCTGATTCTGTTATGTTTTATGTAGCATAATTCCACAAAGCCAAAGTCAGAACATTCTGTTTTTGATTCAGATTTTGAAATTATAGAGTTTAATTTAAATCAGAAACTGCTCAATCTACATCTTTGTTTGGATCATGATTAAAATGCAGTGGTTGCCTCTAATTTTTAGTGGCTACAGTTCTGCCCGTAATGCAGCAAAAACATATTTTTCATGTACTCATATTGTAATTCTTTCTCAATTCTCTTGCTTAAAACAAAATAAATATTTTTAAAACTCAGCAATCGTATCAGAATTGGCTCATTTGCTTGTAAAAAAAAATGGCAATCAGAATCGTCCAAAAATAATCAAGATCAGTGCTGGACATCTTTGACCATTGTGCTTCACTTTATTCTACTGTCCTACAAAAAAAAAAAATAATAATAATATTTTTTGTGAACAATCCCTGGGACTCTTATATATCCTATACATATCTATATAATATATTTCCAGACTCTCAGTTAGGTTGCCATTGATACAATCAGCTGTGCCATTATTTATTAAATTTACTTGTAATTTTGATACTTAAGTACTATTTATATCAGTTACTTTAGTACTTTTACTTAAGTGTTTTTCTTATGAGCAACTTCAACTTTTACTTGAGTCAATTTCCATAAAGGTATCTGTACTTTTACTGAAGTATGGCGATTGGATATTTTATACAATACTGTCTGAGATGATATTACTCCCATAAGACGATGTGTACCACAGAGCCCTACCACCCACCCACTCCAAGCCAGCATTCTGACTGGTCCGATGAGTCATGATGATGATTCACCCCTCTGCGGATGCCAATAAGCATTGATTGATACACAATACGACGAAAACCAAACAGAAACGGCTGCAGGTGATGGATAAGTCTCCGGACAGCTTGGCAGCCCAGTTAGTCCAAGTTATGATGTAAACTGAACTCTCATAAAGCAGTCCACATGGTCCACAGCCACTCCAAATAGGACTAAATGTATTGCTCTTGTTAGGATTGTGAAAGCTAGCAACAGTCCATTTGAGATTCTATTAATCAAGTTGTTTCTTTTGACGTTTCAGTGCTCGGCCAGTGAGATATTCTGTAAATAGAGGGAATAAATCGTACCATTCTATACCACAGTGTGTGATGTACATTAAAGGCACATACACACTCCCCAACAAACCATTAGGAGTAAAATGAGGCAAAGCAAACAACAGCGCAGATTCAACTACAAATATAATAAATGAAGAGGGTCAAAGGGTTCCTTCGTGAGGAGGGAGGAAAAAATGTAGACTGGGTGTGATCCACAAATTACCCATGCAGCGTGTTGGTGACGAGCTATGAAATCTGAAAACCTTGCATGTCTCACACCCAATTTGTTGAAATCTGAAGTGACACTTTCTTAAAAAGCAGCTGTGCCCTTCCCAAGGACGGCAGGCTCTAAAACATCAAATAGCAGCTTGTAGTTTTCTCTTCATGGAGGTTTGAAGATCTGTGATTCATGCAACAGGACCCAGAGGCTCCAGTCAGCACCTGTTCCAGTTCACTCAAGTACACACACCAAACAGATTCGATCCATGGCTGATTCAACACGTCACTTCTTAGTATACACTTTGTTCCAATCCACTCTCTCTCTCGCTCTCCAAACATGATTATTAACAATATCTCACTGCAAGACACGAGTAACGAGTTAGCCTTCAAAAACCTGCATCTTTTCATGCCTCAGGAGGAATCTGAATGTGTATGAGCAGCAAGTGTGACCTTGCGTTAGGTTTCCTGATGATGTTTGCTGGGTTGCTGCTGTTTAAAATGCCCTGCAGTAGAAGTAAGCTGTTATGGGATGGTTAATACAGATGTGAGCAGATGAACTGATGAGCTGTCCCAGCAGGATTTGAGGTATGAGTGTGTTTTGTGGTACCTGGTTTTGGCACTGAGTTGGTAACAGACTGCGGGACCTTGTCGTTTATCAGCTCCACACACTCGCTGGGAAAGAAGCCAACCTGTGAAGAGCAGAGAAGGTTTGAAAAGCTCCTTCTCTCTTTGGAGACAGACATACCAAGGCTTCATCATATCACTCTACATTCTGCTTTGCTTCTGGTCATATTCAGAAAATGGCATGGTACTGTGTCATAACACAACATATAACTCTGCTAATACACTGTAATAATTATTCAAGAGACAAACTACTAAGCTAATGAAAAAAGTGACTTTTGAAAATTCTGTGATATTTACTGCTAGATTATATTGATACTGTTTTTTGATCACAACTAGAGGTTTCTAAAAATGCAGCCCCATCTCATTTAATTAATGCTAATATTTTGAGCCCCTGGAGTGATCAAGAACTGTACAGCATAGTAAAAACAGGCATATATTAGTTGGCATATTCTTTCATGCTGCATCAGCACATCTAGAATGATTTGAAACTCATCTAAAAGAACTGAGAAAATAATAATATACACTAGCGTTCAAAATTTTGGGGGCAGTTTTAAAAGACGTCTTAATCTTACCAGGGGTGCACTTATTTGATCAAAAATACAGTAAAAACTGAAATAATGTGAAATATTATTTCTATTTAAAATAACTTTAACATTTAAATTTTTTATTTATTTCTGCGACAGCAAAGCTTAATTTTTAGCAGCTATTACTCCAGTCTTCAGAAATCAATCAAAAATGCTGGTTTGGTGCTCACAAATATTTTGCATTAGCATCAATGTTGAACACAGTTTTTTTCCTTAAAATTTTTTTGGAAATCATGATAAATTATTTCAGGATTCTTTGATGAATATAAAGTTCAAAATAATAACACTTATCTGAAGTATAAATATCTTATTGACCCCAAACTTTCTGTACTTTTTTTTTTTGTACTTGAATTGTACTGTATGTAAACTTAAGTTTGGGTCAGTGCTATATTGCCACTGAAAATATTACATTAACTGATCTATTTGCATGACTGCAAATGCTTGCAATTTTCTGTGATACATTCTACATTGTTCTTGCTAATTATTATAGGGATGCCAGGAGAAAGTTTAAGCATTTTTTATATGAATATTTGGCTTTCATATCAAGGAAAAACTATCTGAAAACAAGGCTTATACATTTCAAGGCCGCCTGACTTATAAATCGGCAGATAAAAGCACCTGAAAGAAGATTCAAAGTTCTCTCTTGCACCAACATGAACTAACTAAAAGGACACACAGAGCCAAATGTACATGCTTGCCATGTTTTACAACCTAAAATTTGATTTTATCATTCTATCACCTACTATCCAACTGCAGATTTATGAATCCATGACACGAATTAAGTTAATGACAAAAGACGAGGTTTTCTGTAACATATGAGCTTATCTTGCAGAAAACATTAACCATGCCTATTAGTATAACATTGACTTTGTGACCAATCACAGACCTTTAAAAAAGCTCAGTCTCTTCTACACTAGAGCTTGATTATGACTCTGACGTTCCCTGAGAGCCTGCTGACATCAGTGTGTGCCGATTCTCGTGGTGACAGCTGGCATTGCAGTGCACTCTTTTCCCATGCAGACAGATGCTGGCTACCTGACCCAGCTATAGCCTGCCAGAGCTCAGTGTCAGACTGCCCCCCGATGGATTCAGCACACATCTTCCACCATGAACCGGTCTCCCTACAAAGGCCCCAGCTGTGACTCACTGGAGATGCAGAAAGCCCTGAATAGCAACAGGGCCAAACAAAGGCGGCAATGCTGGGCATATGCTTGTGAGGCAATAAGAGAGCACAGTTTGGCAAGTTGGCAGAACGTAAAGTGACTCACGTGTGGGTCTATGTACCCATACACACAAGGGTGAACGATGAGCCAAAGTCATCTATTAAACTGGACTGGATTCTATATTTTACGCTGACAATGGAGTCATTTTGTTATTCATATTTCGTAATATGAGAAATGACACAGCTTGTTTTTGATACTTTACTAGGTGGTGACAAAGTATTTATAAAAGCATTTACCAAATGGATTAAGAAAAGCAATGTTTTTTTTTTTATGTAACTTAATTTAAAAATATCGTTACAATTAACTACAATTTTAAACAATTTAAATGTATATTTGATGATATGAAAAGTGATGTATTCAAGTATAACATTTAACTATAATTTTAAACATGAATCAATTTAATATTTACATGTTTGTCAGTTTGAAAAGTGTTTTATTAATGCATTATTTTAGATTGTTGCATTTTTAGATGTAAATAATTTTAAACGTAAATGAAACAATTTCATTTACAGTATGTCCGTTTATTCAACTTATATTGAAAACTGGAGAGTTACTGTGATCACAGTGAATGCACTTAACCGTTAGTTGCTCGAGAGGGACTCTACCTGCAATTTCTAAACTGCCATGTACACTTGAAATAGAGGGCTAAATCACACGGAACAAACCTGGAAACCATGTTTTCCTCTCCACCAGGTGGTGTCCTCTTTGGGTGGCATGTCTATTACGGAAACAATATCCCCCACCTGAGAGAGAGCGAGAGAGAGAGTAATCAACAAGAATTCACAAAATAACCAAAATTAGTATGGCAATCACACATCTTCAATACTGCATTAATCTGTCTTTATTTTTATGCCAGTCACCTCAAATGACAGCTCATCAGCTGCCTGGGCAATGTAGCGCTTGATCACGTGGGCCGCTGCGATAGCTGGAACATTTATGGATGACTCCTCATGCACCAGCAAGTGATTCCCTTTGTTGTCAACCTGAAGAAAGAGATAAATATGACACCCCAGCTAATGGCAGCATTGAATATATGTTCAGTGAACATCCCTCATCCTCACTGATTATTCAAGTGAATAATCAGCTATCTCTGCTCAAATGGTATCAAATCAGTACCTCCATCCATGTGAGGGCCGGCCCACAGTTGATCTTATTATCAGCAATCGCTGAGAGATGGGAGAGGTAAGCCATCAGCATCTGGGAAACTGCCTGTAGGGAGAAAGAGAGCGAGAGAGGGAGGGTTAAGCTAGTGTGACAACTTCCAAGGGGGTAATGCTATAAATACAGAGTACTTTTACTGGGGGGTTAAAAGCTCACATAAAACTAAGAATGAATGGTTTGAGTTTGCATACTTTTTCATTAGAGAATGGTAGGGTAGGTGTAAGGAATGCAGCTTTCTGTGTAGAGTTTCGACATAAAACATGCAAAATTAAAATCTACATATATTTCAAGTATGCTACTCAGCTGCATTTGCATTTCTATACACTCTCTGAAACAATGTTAGTCTCTTCAGTGAAATACGCTGTAAAAGGCTTGGTATACATTTATTTGCGGCATAACAGTTATTGTTTTTTTGGAGTGTATGTTCGGTAACTGTGGCTACTTTAAAGGGCTGCAGTTGCACTCTGAGATATAAAATGATCTGGATTATACTTCCACATGGCTTGCATAAAAACTAATATAGCAGGAGGTGAGGTGGAGCTGTCTTATATTAATACAGCTCAAAAGATCAGTCTAATAAAAGAGCTCAACCACACATCGGTTTCTAAAACTTAACATTCTATTTAAACCACATTACACACAGATCAGTCTAAAAAAAAACAGTAGTTATAATAAAATTTTCCTAGTGGAAAATAGAGACAGGAGGGTGTCAGCTCATCAGCAAAGAGCTTAATGTTAAAACCTGCAAATTTTGAAAAAGTCATTTCACTCTGGTACGGCACCCAAGCCTACAGAAGCTCTGAAGAAAGTGTTTTTTGTGTGTGTGCGTGTGCTACAGGATTTTTTTAGGCAGAGAAAATTAAAGAGAGCATTTCTTAAATCTCAGCCTGCAAAACTAATTGAAGGTAAAGTTGTTCTATAAAACGTCAGCGTGTGGGTTTTCTCTCTGTTTGTGATTCTCTAGAAGACACAAAATGCTCCACGTCCGAGTTTGGCCTGCGGCTTTTGTTTTAAATGTCAATGCATCTCTGCGTGTATTAAGCTATACTACTGTAAATACAGACAAGGAAGGTAAAAACAAAAGAACTCTTTACTTAATCAAGTTTTCTATGTCTCTTTCAGAATAGCTAAAATGAGCTGAAAACAACATTCAAATACGTTGACGCACTTTGCTACAGAATGGTAAAAATTTTAATGTTTATTCAAATATTTCCCCTCAGTCACAGCATATTTGCATATGACACAAATATTGGAGGATAATTTGGCCAAATATAAACAATAACAATGTACACAACATTGCTAAAGGTACACTATCATTCAAAAAGTTGAGGTCAGTAAGTTTTTTTTTTTTTTTTTGGAAAGAAATAAATACTTTTATTCAGAATGCATGCATTAAATTGATCAAAAGTGACAGCAAAGATATTTAAAATCTTACACAAGGTTTCTATTTAAAATAATAGCGGGGGTTTTTTTTAACTAAGCATTATAGTCACCTCCTTCTAATTAAGGGGTCTGATGCCACATAGTGTATTTAGTATATTATATAATATGAAAGACAAGCATTTTGGTGACTGGTGGGCAGCCAGTCAACAAGAAAAAATAAGAGCAAGTGATTAAAATGAGCCAATGAAAGCCCATAAGAGTTTATTCACGATCCACAGAGCACTGATGGGATCTGATCCAGCTGAACCTATCCCAAGATCCACCCTCCTGTCAATTCCTTTCCCAGACGTATGCTGGCAGACTCACCAAAATGTAAAACGAAGGCCAAAAGGGGCTGCAAAGGAAGCATAATTAGGTCCAAGAAGACCGAACAGACAGCTGTGAGAACTCTCATGCTCTATACGGCTTCATGTATCTCTAAAATCCAAGGCAACTCTGCTTGTGTTGACTATACTAGAAAATAACATGAAGAATGTAGGTAAACAGAAATTGAACAGCGTTCTTTAATGATACGGTCGCTTGCTTCAGTTATTTGCTATGTTTTGTTCATGTGCTAATGAGGCTCATTTGTGTGAGACATCCCACATTTAATGCATAGGCAAGCCTCATAATTATTATATCCTTTGAGATGTTAGTTCCTATAAATCAGAGCCAGTTAACCTTTTAAGATCATCTCAGGGCTTGTGAAACCGAGTTCTCCTTACAAGATTCAGATGCATCTTTACCAAGATCTCTAAATTGCCTCTCTACAAATAAAACTGCACAATCCAATAGATGAAATATGACCTTGGATCTGTTTTCTTGTATTGGGAAGCTCAAAACACCTGATTACACACAAAAACATTGTGGTAGCTTCCACTTAGCAGCTCAAAGAGACTTCCTCTACTGCAAAACATAATGGGCGGCATTATCAGCCACTCAAATTTCAAAGCAGATCCATTTTAGCTGTGAAAATATGGCACAGTTCAAGTATACTACTCTGTGAAACAAATGCTATGTATGCCCAATACAGCAGGAAGAGGAGGTTTTTTTGAACACTACAAGGATATCCATCTGACGGTCTCTCATGGGATGCCATTAGGTGCTGTTAACCAGTCTCACTAAGCACTCACTCATCACTGATGACTAAAGCTGCTCTGAGAGGGGCATCTTGCAGGATAATCACCGTGTATACTGGGTATGAAAGGTCTGACTATTGTGCGTTTACAGGCAGGGGCCTAAAATGTCTTATTGGCCACAGGTAAGTGCTAAAAGATGAGTGTTTGGGGGTCTTACCTCTGCTCTCTCCCTCAGGCTGTCGAAACGGGGCAGCTCGGGGAGCTGGGAAAAGCGGCGGTCATAGATGCAGAGATGGAGATGCTTATCCAGGACTCGGAAATCTTCATAGCTCCGCCTCACGATCCAGCTTCGTCCCTGCGGGGTGATAAAAGAGGGCCGTAACTTAAAAGGTAAACAAACAAGAGCTAGAGTGTGTTGAAGTTTGGTCTGCAGGGTAAATATGAGGGCTCAGTTCTTGGATAAACCTCATCTGGCCAGTGCAGCAACATGATGACCACACACAATGGCCACTTCAGAGCAGCCACATTACAGCTGTGTGTGTGTTTAATCCTGGACAAAGCAGCATTCAAAGAACTGAGGAGAGGGACAGTGACCACACACTTTTATTTTATTTATTTATTTTTTACAGTTGGGCTAGATTTGCATTTCCTGAAGGAAATACTAATACTTTTAGATACAGAAAAGAATCCATTTTTCGGGAAAAATAATATATGGAACCATGTAACCCAGATTTTTGATAAATGCAAATTCCAATCCACTATGCATTCAGTGGGAGATTTCAAAACTGTATTATATAACTTCCATAAAATTATGAAGAAAAAATATTGCATCAGGAGAAAGATATGTTAAGTGTTCAGAAAAAAACACTGGCTGAGCTTAAGCAGGCGAGCTTTGGATTTTATCAGCTAATATGAAATAAATTATAAAGGAATGTTACATTTAGGCATGAATGATATTATCGGACCGAAATCGGTCCGATTATATCGTGATATGAGAAATTATGCCGATATGTCTTGCCGATAAGAGGAATACCATTAACTCACATGAGCTCAGGGTGTGCTAGCGATTAGATCACATCAGCAGTGTGACTCATTTTTGAAGCAACGTTTTGCCTGAATGGTGGTTAGATTCACTACTTTGGATCGCTGCATTTAATCTGTGAATGCACGTAAAGAATGATGCATTCGGTGTGTGATAAAGTAAACAGTAATAGCACATGCAGCAGCAGCGGCAGCCTCACCCGGGTCCTAATGCCCGTTCGGTAAGGAGTTTTAATTCCGTAGGGGGCGCTGTTGGCCTACTTTTAATAAAATGAAAGTAAAATACACAAATTACATTTAGACTGTGTTTCTGATTAAATAAAGCAGTAGGCTAATTGATGTCATACAATCATGACGATAAAAAATGTTTTGATTTAAAGGTCAGAAGCTATAGCTTACATGAATTAAAAAAAAAATCACAAACATGACACTTGTAAATTAAATAATTGTATATATACTTATTTATTCATTAATGTGTAATATGTTATATATTTTAAACAAATTATGAGGTCTAAAATTTTTTCCACATTTTTACAACTCTTGCTTTAGACCAGTGATGGTCAAACTTGGCCCTTCCAGGCCACTTTCTTGCAGAGATTTGATCCAACCCTGATATGACTCACCTGCCTTCTAGTAGTCTTGAAGACAATGATTAGCTGGTTCAGGTGTGTTTGATTAGGGTTGGAGCTAACCTCTGAAGGAAAGTGGTCTGGAAGGGCCAAGTTTGCCCACCCCTGCTTTAGACCATCTACAAATGTTAAATCTTAAAATAATAGTTGAGGTTACTACTGCATCTTTCTGAGAAAAAAAATGCAGCGATTGATATATAGTTTATTTATAGTTATTTTCAAAGCTTCAATGTACTTATAATGTCATTATAAAAGAACGTCATTATTGTTTATTTAATTCTAACAAATAAGTTCTTGTTAAAAACTAACCAAAATTGAAAAATAATTTACTTATAATTTCCACACAGGAGAGACTTGGTGTTGTTTCCAAACAAAAGGAAATATATCGGTATCGGTATCGGCATCGGCTATCGGCCAAAAAGAGTTGAAAAATATCGGCATATCGGCAAAAATCCAATATCATGCATCCCTAGTTACATTAAAAGGAAGCGGTTACCATCATAACAATTTGAGGTCAGTAAGATTGTTTTTTGTTTGTTTTTTGAAAGAAATTAATACTTTTATTTAGCAAGGATGACTTAAACTGATAAAAGGTGACATTAAAGTAATTTATAATGTTAAAAACTTTCCATTACAAATAAATGCTGTTCTTTTATACTTTCTATTCATCAAAGAATCCTTAAAAAAAATGCATCACAGTTTCCACAAAAATATTAAGCAGCTGGAAACAAACCATTTCCAAATATTGATAATAATCAGAAATGTTTCTTGAGCACCAAATGAGCATATTAGAATGATTTCTGAAGGATCATGTGACACTGAAGACTGGAGTAATGGCTCCTGAAAACACAGATTTGCCATCACAGGAATAAATTACATTTTAAAATAAATTACAATAAAAAAAATTTAAATTGTAATATTTCACAAAAGTACTGTTTTTACTGTATTTTCGATCAAATAAATGCAGCCTTGTTGAGCATAAGAGACTTCTTTCGAAAACATTTAAAAATTATACCAACCTCAAATTTTATGTGATATACACTATACCATTTAAAAGAACATCAACTCAATCTGTGCAAGAATGTATCTGAAAAGGGCTAAATCTACATAATTTGACTACTTCTGGCTCAAATTGATACAGCAATATTGACACTAGGGCTGTGCGTTATTGAAGAAAAATGCGATATGCGATAACTCATTAAATAATGCGATAATCGATATGCGATACGATAATGCTTAAAGTGCCACATGCTCAGATGAAACAGTTTTACTCAGCTGTTGCTGAGTCAGTTCTGTGAACTTCTATAACTATCTTGGTGTCATATATATATGGTTATTTGTATGCATGTATGTATCAAGAGCTCCTGTAAAACCACAACAAATTCCTTGTGTTTGCGCACACTTAAGTGGTGAATAAAGCTCATTCTGATTCTAATATAACTAGCATACGTGTTTCACTTTTTGTGAGAAGAAAGCACCCCTTCAACAACTTCTGAAAGTGAACGGTAGTGTTTTACTCTAGCATTACATAAAAATGTCATTTTAACATTAATGTAATCATTTTAACATGAGTTTAGGAACTGAATAATAAAAAGGAAAAATACAACACTGCTTAGTATTTACTCTATGAATTCAATATACAACGATTCTTATTTAAGCTATAAAAGTTATTTAGGTAAGAGCAGTGAGTGATTTTCTCTTTGTCTTTTGTTCATGGCCCCAAATATTGCAAGCCGTAGCGATATGCATATTGCGATATGTACATTTGCGATATTTCGATATATTGCACAGCCCTAATTGACACAATTATTTACATACAACTATTGCCCGTAATAGTAATGGGCGTGAAGTTTCCGGACAACGTGCAGTACGCGGTTAACGAATCACAACACACTGGGCCAGCTAACCAATCTGAGTCCATTGCGTATTTCTGAGGGAGTGGTATCATAGAAACAGGAAGTCAACCGGCCGTTCAAATGACAATGGAGACAGCGGCTTACAGTAAAGGTAAAATATTTGACAAATAAGGCGTTTTTTTTTTATTTAAATTTTAACCTTCATTTCTTGAGTCTCCAAGCCACAGAGCCCATATTCACAGTAAACAGAAAACCTCAATCTCTTTGATTTGACCTAAACACATCTCTTTGAATCAGAGCCAGGGAAAAAAGACCTTTAAAAAATGCTGGTGTACTAGCGCACACATAGGGAAAACAAACACTGTTGTTCAGCCTTCCTGCTTCCAATGCATTTCATAGGGAACTGAGTAGTGCATTTGTTAGGAAAAACTGCAATGAGAGTGGAACTAAAGTGCTTTTCCTGTGCGTCTGATCCCTGTCCATTCAGATGACTCCTGGCCAAATCTGAACCCTCAGTCGTTAACATTTTTTTTTCTCCTTTATAAACACACAAGAGCAGTGCTGTGGATTTGGACATCTTCTCACACACCAGGATGGAATGAGGTTTCCACACACAAACCAAGACTTCAGATATTTTTCCACTGACGTTTCAACCAGAGCTGCCAGTGCTCAAATCAAGTGCACAAGCAGCCAGCTGCTTGAATTCTGCACTAAATTTAAAGGAACAGTTCACTTAATGAAAACAGTCAATTTTCATTTTTGAGTGAATTATTGCTTTAAGAAGCTTTTTTGCCTATTTTTCTTGCTTTTGTAAAACAAGGACAGCTAAAATTTCGTAGCAACCAACTAAAGCCAAAACGTAGGAGGTCTACATCACAAATTTATAAGCAACAGCTCATAGTTAGGCTTAATATACAGCTTTACAGGGGCGTCTCAAGCAGATGATTTCATCTCTCCCTTTACTGTGAGAACCACTCTCTTGCATTTGCAGATTGTTACTAGATTCTGTTAGACTTGTTTTTACAGTTTTAAACTTGGCAATCCAAAAAGCAATGCTCAATGGGCGAGACACTGAAAAAAACCTGCAAGATGCAATGAAACACACAAAAACGCTAATGTGTGTGTGCACCGACAAAAATTATACAAGATATTCTGTCTTACCTGACAGTAGATCTGAACCAAATACACAGGCTCTTTTGACTCCAGGCCATTCCGTGTCACTTCAGTCTGTTCATCTGCGAGGGATAACTGTAGAGAAAGAGATGATGAAAGAAGGGATGAACAGAAAGAACAGTGCACTTTCTTGTTTTAGTGTCATCTGCAGGCTGCTGATGCTGAAAACACACAAGTCATCTATCACATCCTGTTGCTATTATGAGAAGCTTTGGTGCTATCATGAATAAATGACTAGCAGCGAAGCATCTCTCTGTATTCAGGTTCCTCGGGTTAGAAGAGGTGTTAAATGATTTGTCACCAGATGAGCATATTGACCGCATATTATAAATAATAAATACAGAAGCACAGAAACAGTGAATCCCATGACAGACGGAGCACAGACTGAGCCATGCATGAAAAGCAGTCACTGATATTTTGATTAAATTTCTTCAGTCCATCCTAGCTTTTAGTGGATAATAATTTCTAAGGCTTCATATTAAGACATTGCATGGAATATTTATAAATATTTAATATTACAGTATATAGCATTACATATACAAATAATAACAACTCTTATTAATATTATCATTATCATCATCAACATCAATAATGTATTATGACTAACTTATATCATTCATATAAAACATCCTCCTACCATGCGCAGCATATATTAACTCAGATATTACCCATTACATCATCTCAGTGTTCACACAATGACTCAGTGTGTTGTGTGAGTGACAAATTTCTGTTGTGACTCATTTGAGTTTGTTCATACTGTGAGATGGGTGATGACCTCAGCGAGAGACACACAAACATTATATTTCTGCTTTTTTTTTTTTCCAATAAGAGCTTTGACAGCAGCTACTTGGACTTGAGTCGGTAGGAAAAGCACTGAGCTGTAAATCTTGATAGAGCGTATAAATGGTTGCATCCAGGTGGATCCACTGATAAATAATTTAATCATTTACACAAAATTTCCCTCAAGATCAATAGAGTGTTTCTCCATCTCCATCCATCCAGTTAAACAGCTTGAGAGAATGAGGTTTACACAGGCAGCAATAAATATGAGTGAAAGAACAAAAATAAAATCACAACTCTCTCTAACCACTTTGTACTTGTTTACAACTGATATTAACATCCATTTCAGGTGATCTAATCACAAGTTGTCAGGCAAGGCAGCATCAGTGAAAAGGTTGACTGTTTGTGCTTGAGATATTAAACCCTTGGTTGGGTGGAATGATTGCATGTTAGGTTCTATGCTGTTGTTCAGGATGCATTAGTATTTACACTACAAATTTGGTCACAAATTTACAAAATGTTTTGCACTCATCTTACACCTGTATACTTTCAGTATGTTAGCACCATAGTTTTTATTGGTTAAATGCAACACTATACAGTCATTTGGACCAGAAAAGTTTGTCTATGAACAGACAGTCCCCATTTTGTACCTGAATGAGCCAATCCATGTAAATAGTACTAAATGTTCCTTTAAATAAGAAAAAAGATTATGTGAACCCTGAAATCTGCAGTCAAATCTCACTAATACGACTGTGTGGCAGTGTTAATTACACTTGAGTTCAGAAAGCAGCCGTTAGGTTGTATTCCTTTTACGATTCCTTTCTTTAGAGCGAGAGGATTATGCCATTAAGTAAGGCAGGGTTACAGAGAGCTGTGAAGTATTAAATATCCATCTCAGTGAGTGTGCGAGTGAAACTTTAGACATCTTAACAATACCACATGAAGGCCCGACTGAGCCACGGTCTAAGACTTCTGTTCATTCCACATCCTTACAAGTGAAAAGTGAAATCTAACACTGCCGCTCTGACGCGAGCAAAGAAACAGAACTCTCACCAGCGAGGTCTATTTGAGAAGAGTGGGAAGAGGTTAGAGAGAAGCACAACCAGGTGTACGTGAAGTTTGGAAGCTGTGGGCTTCAGTAAGGTCCGGTGAGCCAGTGCAGCTCGTCGGAAAACCCTGGGTAACGTGAGAAGTAATGACCCAGTTAAAAGCAACTCCAACAGCTTGCCCAGTGCTGAGAGAAAGAGAGGTATCCCCGCCAGCAGTGCCAGGAAAATCAACTCAGATGGGCTTCCAGACCTAAACAGTTAGGGAAACATACTTTAGCAGTGACCACAAAGGGTTTTAAATAGGAAGTTCCATGGGACGCAGACACTAAAACATTCGCAGAAGTGGTCAGCGATCCTTGGCGGGACAGAACGTTCAACTCCATTGTTTGGTGGAGCCCTTATGGAAAGCATCTAGGCTTTATGGGGATTCTTCAGCTAATCATTTTCAAGCACTGACAGGCATGAAAGATATTAAAGCACTCTGGGTGCTCAGGAGGCACGGAGCTCCTCGCAAGAGCTGTTACAGAAATCCATTTAGCGGTGCAAATCTCCATTGTGCATGGTTACGCAGCACTGATCTGAAGTACAAAGCATGAAGTCAACGGCCCTAGTGAGACTTGAAGACATTAGGTGTCTCCTTACAGCATGTCTGCAACCTTTAAGTGTAAACAAAGAGATTAAAGTGAAGGTATAATCAAGAGCAAAAGAAAAGGGTGGGAAAATAAAACAAGCAGTCAGCAAGAGGGGCAAAGACGACTTACAGAGGTACAACATCCCATCTGATTAACGAAGCATCTTTTGTTCACCCCGAGATTCCGGCTGCACACTGTAAGCTCAATTCAGAAGCCGCACTCCTAAACATTCAAGGATTCCCACCTTCGACGTCCATCAGTTAAGCATGTGTGAGAGAAACACCCGTTGTTTTGTCCGGCACAAATCCACAAATCCAGATGTCAGTTGAGTTTCCCACCCCCTCCGGTGCGCCGTCCCGTCTGAGTTGTTGTGAAGCACGAGCACTGAGGTTCCTCCTTTGGTGCACTCCTGCAAACTCATACACAGAGTGGAGCACTGGCTGGACGGCTTTTTGCAAAATTGCATTTTTCTGGGAGTTCATTGTAGTTTGGTTTTCCAAATTTTTTATGAGATGTTTCGGTCCTTCTCACTCCATGTTATTTGCAATTCCTCAACATTCGTGCACACTCATTGCATGCTTAGTTTGCTGGCCAAGAGTGGTTTGGAAAACACAGAGAAGAAAAAAAGGATGATGAAAAAAGCAGTTCTCCCTTTGCATCTGTTGTGGTGTGCGCTTTCACTACAGTCTCTCGTTTTCTCCAGACTCTATCGGTCTCCCCCCGTTCCCAACCCCCAGCGCCTCCCCCCTTCACTAGCTTTCAATGGTACAAGCACTTCCTGTATCTGTTTGCCTCTTTAAGAAGAATCGCTTTATGTATCCCCAAATTGTAAGTCGCTTTGGATAAAAGCGTCTGCAAAATGACTAAATGTAAATGTAAATGTACAGTCCCTGGGACAAAGCGCATGGTCGGTGAGCCAAAAGAAACAGTGGAGAGAGCTGTGAAGAGGGGGTTGCCCTTGTAGGAACACAGAGCGGTTCTCCAGCGTGTGCCCTTCACTCTCCATCCTGATCCTATGGGACCAGCGCAGTCCAGAGCGACAGGAACAGAAGTGACAGAAAAAAATTTTAGCGCGGCAGTGAGAAGGTCTGGAGAATTCTTCATGATAAAGAGTGCTCAAGGCAGCGGGCTGCATTGTCTAATAATCACACCATTGTAGTAGCACAAAAGACAAAGAGCGAAAACAAAGAGCCTCCATATGTCTCGTACTTTAGCAGGGGGTGTTATCTGTTCAGAGCCATTTATAATGACCTAATTATCATGTTCATTGATGAAGACAATAAGGACAGGTCAGGATGGTCAACTAGTTCAACAACTGACTATTCAGTTAGTGAGGTTGATCAGTTTAATGCAGCTTTTTTAAAGGGATAGTTCATCCAAAAAATAAAATTTATTCACACTCATGTCATTCTAAACCTGTAGGAATTTCTTCTGTGCAACACAAAAATGATCATATTTAATATTTCAAGTGCTTTTGTACATAAAATGAAAGCAGATGGGGTCCGACTCCAAAACATTGGAACCAACTGACTTTCATTGCATGGAGAAAAAAAAGAAAGAAAAAGAAATGATGGCAGGTTTAGACATGAGTGGGAGTTAATAACTTTCATTATCAGGTGAATTATCCCTTTAATATTTTAATGGTGGTTAAAGGGAATGAATTTAAAGATGCAACTTCTTGGAGATTTCAGTATGTTAGAATTTGTATTTCTAAATATGTTCCATTTGAATTCCATAGCTTTTGACGCAATTTGCCAAAATTTACCACATCAACAATACATTAAACAATTACTGTCAGTCTGCTGTGAGCAATGTTCATGTCATTATGCATAATTTAAATGCTTGTTTGTGAGAATGATGGTAATTTTGAGAAATGAAAAGTTACAGCAATTTAGCCTATATGCTGAATATCTGTCAGCTGACTGATCGTAAGGCTGCACTTCACGTCCATATCCCTAACAAATGTGTCTGCTCCGTTTCTGTTGGACATGTTCCTAAACCAGCCTTATTATACAGCGTTTACTTACCAACTACTCAACTAGTACTTCAGACAAACGATTAAATGTGTCTAAATGTTCATTTATAATCAAGCTAGAGTGAGGCCAAATGTTTTATGATTACAATGTATACATGCTGGACGAAGCCAACCTACATTGAACTAAAGCGTTCACAACATTTTAAAAAGAGCTTTAGTCTGACTGAAATCGAATAATTTATGCAAATGTATTGACTGATTAGTTGATTTTAAAGGTTTAAACTGACTTCTAGTTCAAGGTCTAATAGTGACAGACAGGGCATTGCTGCTCGCCCATCTCTCTGCCCCATGGGATCTCATGGGTACTGAAGATAAGACATGGCCTAAGGCAGTGACTGTGACAGAAGTACGAAAAAAACACACAAATACAGATACAACATGTTTAGCTGTAAATCAGTGCAGGGGACAGAGAAAAGCAATGGGTCACTCCAAATAACATCACTTGTGCCATCACAGCACATCTGAGGGCGATTGAAAAGATTTTCCTGGAGAAGTTTTGTGAAATGCGGCAGCCAACCACAAAGAACATAAGAGGAATCCAAAAGTCCTGCTATTCGTCCTGCTATTCCTGCGGAAATG